AGAGAGAGAGAGAGAGAGAGAGAGAGAGAGAGAGAGAGAGAGAGAGAAGGAAGGAAATCAAATGTGACAGAACAATGAAAACAAAGACTCAGCTTACCTAGCAGCGGAGAATCTTCAGGGGGCTACTGAGGCTGAGGTTTGGGCTAAAGAGAGCTGGAGGCGCGGCCATTATGAGTTTAAGTGCGGTAATGGTGCGAGTAATAGCTACAGTATGGTAGAAGTACTGCAAGAGGAAGCAATAAAATAAAATCAATAAGCCTAACGCTAACTGGACTGATGCGGCCTATGTAGAGAAGTGTGAAGTTGCTAGTCGCTCCTGTGCGTGCCAGCACACCTCCGTGTTCGGCATTTGTTGTGAGCCGGCGATCCGGATAACGCCGACCAGAATGACGCTTGCCGTACCCTGATCTGGCCCCTGTGTTGGTCTAGCGCATCTACCGCGTGACCCGTTTAGGAGGCCAACACATACACGCATGCCGCTCTTCTTAGTTGTCCTTTGTTCACCTTTTTGTAGTCTCCTGACATTCAATGACCTCCTGATGACACTCTTGAAAGACGGGTGCATCTCGGAAGAGCGGGTCCAAGCTGCTAAATCCTATAACGCAAAGTGGCAGTTCAATTCGGTGCGTTCTGTTTAATGGCGCCTTGTACTGCATCATGATATGGCCAGTTCTGCAGTGATTTATCTCCTCATGCACAACTTTTTTGTCGTTGTAGCTGCGCCCTGCTGCTTCGCTTTCAGATGTTCATTTCACCCCCGAGATTGGTCAGCTGCTGTTCCAGCATATGAAAACAAAAGGTTCTCGTCTTTGCCTTGCCGTTGACAGCCCTACCACTGCTGAAGAAATCATCAGCCTGGCTGAACGTCTCGCACCTAAACTCTGCGCGCTCATGTTACACCCGGAGCTTGTGACAGACTTCTCGCCTGACTTCACCGGCCGTCTACGTCTGCTGGCTAATAAGAAGGGTTTCCTTCTGATCGCAGACAGGTAACTTATTTTGCCCTCCGTTAATGTACTTCTACTTGGTACGCCTTTGTTCCTGTTTAATTTAACCGGTATCTTTGTTTTTTTTTGAGAATTCTGGACATTTTATGCCACAAGTGGGTCCTAGTGGGTCTTTCTAGATTATCACTTAATCCTTGGCCATCGGATCCTAGGCTTAGTTGATCCGTGACAAAATAATCTATTTTCCGTCATCCACAGTCGCCATATCATCACCGGATTTGCGTCTATTATAGTGTCGTCGACGTGACAGACGTTAATATTCTGCGTCGTATGTTCACTCCTATTCCTACTTCGCGAAGAATTATCTGTCAGGCAATAAGAGAGCTTATTTCCCGGCTACCTTTGGCTGAAGGTCATCCCACTCACCACCACCGTCCGTGGACACGCACGATAGCCAGCCAATCGACATGCATTTTGCTGAGCTCGCTTTCTGGGTTCAGCATTCTAATCAATTTATTTTGACTGAAGGAAACTCGCCGATGTCGGGAAGACGACTATGCACCAACTAACCGGTGGACAGTTCAAACTCACGGACTGGTGCGACCTGCTGACCGTCCACGCACTAACCGGCACCAACCAGCTGACAACACTTCGCAAGGTCAACCAGTCCGCGCGAAGATCCACACCCCTATCAGCTCTCATTGTGGGCGAGATGGACGCCGAGGTAGACCCAATGTGCTACTGCGTTCTTATTATTGTAAACTTGGTTACTTATGTGATGTAGAATCTGCTCAGTCGGCCTTAGGTTACTGTTAAGCTCCTGGGGTTGGGATTGGTTTTAGGGTAAAGCCTAGTTCCAGGGTTACCTGTTCGCTAGACATTTTAGCTTTCTGTTAGTTTAACACACAGTTTTCGAATTGCCCACTGCTTCATACTCTTAATCGGCGTATTTCAAGAAACACTTTCATGTTCGTGTAAATCAGGGAGCCGAATGTTACCAGGACAAAGTTAGGTTAACCATATGCTCCAACTGTTTACGTAGGTCAGGTCTTGATGGCCGTACATAGGGAGCCTCCAGGTAGCGCAAGGTACGAGTTGTTTGCGCCGGAACAAG